ACGGTCTCATGGCAGCCTGGCAGGCGGTATTGGCATTTTCAAAAGCCATCTCCTTGGCTACTATGGACGCAGCGTCAGTGTCTCCAATGACCCGCTGAGTGGCCGTCAAGAGCCGAGCTACAAAATCTTGGAATGGCTCATCAGGCCCCCTGCCGAATTTTAGAGAGTTTCCTCTCTTCGGACTCTTGATTTAGGTAGTCTCCTCCAGGCCGCAGTAGCAGCCCATCTGATGAAATCATATGCCGACGCCGGGTATAACAATTGGCGTTCAGCACCTGAATAATCTCCTGCCCCCTGCAATTGTTCTGCAGTAAGGTTATCCCGGCGAGCTGCGTCTGTTCCTGCATAACCTACACACTGCTCATAATACTCCGTCAGCCATAAAAGATAGTCTCCCCCTGTCAACACCGCCTTACATATGGTCTTCCAGTCATGAGGAGGTAAAACATTCCCAGCAATAGTCTCCATGGTAGCAATTGTGAAAGGAGCAGTAGCTCCGTATTGGGCACAGGCTAACTTAAGCTCCTTTAGTGCCTTATAGGAAATGGGCTCATAATCACGAATGTCAAGAACCTCTCCCTGATCATTCTGCCCCTGCCTTCTAATAATGGGAAACAATTGAGACTGCGGGAATCCCTCAAGGGGGTCCCCCGCTTGGCGCGCCTGTTGCAATGCTAATTGTAACGGAGAACTGTGCCTAGTAAATCCTGGTGGAGGGTTAAGCCGATGTCCTACACGGGCTATGAGCGGCACCCCAGTGGCAAACAGGGGGTCCGGAGGAGAGGGAGCTGAGGCTGGGGGCATTTGAACCTCCTGCTTACTAACCCTTTGAACTCGCTCATCCCTTAATTCTTTAAGCACAGACAATAATTCTTTCAGGGTTGGATCCGCCTCGCCGGCCGGCTTCTCATCCTCGGCCGAGGCGAGGAACACCTCCTGAGGGGGGTGATACGATGCTGCCTGCTCAGCAAGGTCCCCCCCCCCAATCAACTTCTGCTGGATCGGGAGCCCGCGATTTCTCCGATAAGTTCACTTCTGGCTGATCATACTTCAGCGGTTCCCATTTTAGGGGAGGTGCGGTCGGCGGAGGTGGTGGGGAATATAGATTCTCCGCCGAGCGAGCAGCACGGAGACTGCCCCGCGTGCTGCGCTCCCACTTGGCAAGCTCAGAATCCCCCCTTAAGCAGTCTCGAACAAGAGACCAAAGAGAGAACGCATCTACAGGTGTCTTTCTCAGGGCCATTAGCTTGATAATGCTCTTTGATGCGCTCCCCCACTTTCTTCCACGTATCTATATTTATAGTCCCTTCTTCTGGAAACCACGGGCAGATCTGCTGAACGAAATCTACAAAGTGATGGATTTGCCCTTTCGACGTGGAAATTCCCCGTCCCCTCAATAGGGAACACAGTACCTGCTCAAAGAGTTCCCTCTCGGTAGAAAGCGAAACCCCCATTTCTACTAGCTCTCTTCGTCTACTCCCTGCTACTTTCGTTTTCTTTTTCTTTCGTGTACTTACCGGGCCCCTGTAGCAGCGGTCCTGTCAGGCTCTGCTGTCGTCAATCTCAGGACTCTGGTGGTCCCCCGAAGACCTCTGGTTCAGGTCCCTTGTTCGGGCGCCACTTGCCGCGGCCAGCGAGGCAGTGGGTTCGAGACGCGCAGTGACGGACTGAAAAGAGAGAGCGGCCAGATGCTCTGGTGGCAAAAGGCAAGTTTATTGAAAACTCCTGTCATTATATAGTGAGAGAGTCTTTGTTCAAGAAAGTTTACACACCCCTTCAGGTCACGTACAGAACATCCTGGTTTAGATTAACTCCAAGGACGCACCGCCCCAAGGCGCCGGCACCTCCCCGTCCTTCTCTTGGGAACAATCCGATAACAAACAAGGCCGGGGTAGTGTCAGGTCACCTCCCCCGAGGCCAAGGAACAGGCCCAAGCATCATTCTCACAATGCAGGACCCTAACTCTTGACCCCTTCCTGGGGGCTTGGTTCCCCACACAGAGGGACACGCACAGCAAGTCCCCCGCGGAGGAGAGCCGGGCACGCAGCCCAGGTTTTCAGCGAGCAAATACGAAGGAAGAATGATGGAGGGAGGGAGGGAGACAGGTACCAAAGGGGCTTGTGTGTGTGAACCGCACACACACGGTGGGGGAAATGGCCCTCATGAGACAGCTGGCAGTGTGACCACTGACTGACAATGCTGAATAGTTACTCTTTAGGAAATGACACCAGTGAGCAAGGTTACGCTGCTTCTCCGGCGAGGTTAAGGGCCCGGAGTGCAGGGCAAGGATGGGTGCTGAACAAACCCCTGGCAGCCGCAGTCAGGGATGAAGGAATCCACTAAAATCGGAGAGCTGAGAATACTGGTGTCTTGCCTTATATTCACAGCGTTGTGCATATCTAGTGAAATATGTATAAAAAAGTACTTTGAAAAACCATGAAGTTTTATTTAAAAACTGGGGCTGCAGATGGTGCCACCACTGTCTTCGTGTCTGGACACGGGGCTCCTGTCCGAGTCCTCGCCATCCTGTTCACCTGTCGCACAGTCAGTCAGGTGCCGCAAGCTGCCTCCCACCCATCACAGGGTCTGCTCTGCCTTCTTTGCCCTCTGCTCTGGCAGCTGGCTGGGCCCCGGCCCCCCCGGGCCCCGAGTCCCCGCAGCCAAGCTGACTCTCCTGCAGCGGCTGATGGAATCGGCCTCCTCTGCCATCTCAGGGGCAGGCGGTCCCCAGGCTCTCCCCCCTCAGAGGGGTCCACCTGTTTTCCCAGGCTGTGCTGCTGGGTTAGGTCGCAGAGCTGAACTGACTTTTTTTCTGTTTTGACTTTCTCAAGATCGGTTACTTTCTCCACCTGCTAAATGTGCCAGCCAGTGCCCGTGACCCTCCGCCCGCCCCGGCGGTGTGTCTGTCCGGATGGCGCTTCCTCTGCACCCGGGTTGGCGCCCCCCGCCCCTCGCCCCCCGAACCACAGGGCAGAGACCTGAGAGGCCAGCATTTCTTCGCTCGCTCAGCCAGTGCCTGGAGGGGAGCAGTGCTCAGCCCCCTGAGCCCAACATACACACTGCAGTGTCGCTGAGGTCAGGGCATAGCTAACAACTTAATTAAATTGTTTAATTGGCAACCTTTCTTCTTCCTCAGTGGCACGTAATATATCGGTTCCTCTTGCAATTGGTTGTTTTAGATTCTGTAAGCTGCAAAGCTCAAGTGCTGGCCTTGACTGTAGGAAACTTTCTGAAACACGTTAGGCCTGCCACTGTGCAGAGCTTAAAAGTATGTGATGGCAGGGAAGGCGGGCAAGAGGAAGAGGGATACAATGTAAAAGACTTCTTCCCCTCCCTGAGGTCTGACACCTAATTTGAGAAACGGGGGTTACGAGAAAAGAAACATGAGAACACTTCTCGAGGAGGGCCACTCGAGCAGTGAGAGTCGGAGGGCACGTCTGTGAATCTGAGTGAATGTGTAAACCTCTCAGTGTTCCGGGAAGGCTTCATGGAAGAAGGGCGCTTGGAGTTTAAAGGAAAGGAAAAGTCAGCCAAAGGCCACTCTGCCTCATTAATGGGCACGCGGTTCTCATGGGGGAGGAGCATCTCCGTTCCACAGAGAGAGAGAAACTGTGTGTACAGCTTATGAGATCACGTCGCCCCTGGGCTACCCTCCAGTTCTCACTGGATTTGTGAGCCAGGGGCAGAGGGCTCGGGAATGCTTTGCATCTCTTGCTGGTTATTCACGTTTCTGATTCCCGGAATCATCACCTGGGGGCTCGAATGTCTGGTGCTTCCTGCCTGTCCGCAGGGTGGTGCCCTGGGGGTCTGTGGGCGCCCAGGCTCTGCTCCCCCTGCAACACCCCCGAGACACTTGGCTGGACCCACAGTGGTCCTGTCAGGGTGAGTGGAATGGGGTGAGAGAGAGGCGCCAGGCTGGTCCGAGGGTCCTGAGGGCAACATTCTGATGGAGGTCTTGGGGGAGGGGGAGAAACTACCCAACACATCCATAACCAACCTCCACACCCACCCAAAGGGCGATTCCAGAGAAGCCTGCCCCAGGCGGTGTGTCCTGACACCCAGGCCAGATAGAACCCAGTGTTAGGAGGGGCTCTGCCTCCCTGCCCTTAGCTGTGAGGTCATCCAGGGGTGCTCTAGCAGGTCAACAGACGGAGTCCGGGGGTACCCACCAGTGTCTGCAGAAGCAAGCACCAGCACAGACTGGCCTGTTGCAGCATCTGCCCCTGAGCCGGGGGCTTGACTCAACAGAGCAGGAGGGGGGTGCAAGCTGGAGGGAAAAGGGGCCCCTTTCGCTCAGCCCACCAGCTCCTCACTGTTAACTTCCCACACTTTGAGCCCTTCACTCCTCTGACCCCACCCCCGCAAAGGTCACGCGGTAATGACAAGCCTAGAGACAGAGGTCTCAGTCTCTCAGAGACAACACACTTTGATCTCCATGAAAAGCTAGTAAAAGGCAATATTTATCTAGCACTTTCCACTCGACAGGCTCTCTCCAAGCCCTTGAAGCGAATTAGCGCGATCCTCCCCTCAGCCTTACTAAGTAGGTAATTATTCCGCTTCACCCGCAGGGCAACTGAGGCACAGGAAGTTGCACTGACCCGCCCGGCGGCGCCGCACCCTGGTGGGACTGGGAGGGCGGCTGCCGCCGGCCCGGAGGCTCCAGCCCCCCAGCGCCGCCGGCCGGGCTGCCCATATAAGGCCTCGGCGTCCGTGCGGACTTCAAGATCATTCGGGCACCCCGCGGACAGCAGCCGCCTCCGCAGCCAGGAATGTGTGGCATCTTCCTCCCTGGCGGCGGCCCACCGCCGGGAGGGCTTCCCTGCCACGCCGGGGCCCACGGCTAGCCTCCCTGCGAGCCCGCGGAGCCGCGCCCGGGCTGGGCCTCGCCGCTGGGGGGAGCGCGGCGCCCGGGCGGAGCGGGCCGGGAGGTGGCGCGCGCCCTCACCTGCCCCGGGCGGCCAGGCGGAGGAGGAGGAGGAGGAGGAGGAGGAGGAGGCAGAGGCGGCGCGGAGGCGCCCGGGAGGGGCCTGCGCCAGCCCCAGCCCCAGCCTCTGCACAAAGTGAAACTCCTGGAAGTTGCGGGCGCGGGAAGCCTGGCGGCCGCGGCCCGGGCGCCCATGGCTCTGAGCAAAGGGCTGCGGCTGCTCCGGCGGCTGGAGGCCGCGGGCGACAGCAGCGTCCTGCTGGAGGCGCGCGGCCGCGGGGACTGCCTGCTCTTCGAAGCCGGCACGGTGGCCACGCTCGGTGAGTGCCTGCGACCTAGCCGCGGGGCTTGGGGCTGGGGCCGCGCCCCTGCGTCTCCTGTGCGGTGGGGGGGGGCACGGAAGGGACACCCCTGAAACAGGGCTCTCTGCCTTGCTGAGACTTAGAGACCGGGGTACCTCCTTTCCCCGAGGTGACCAGTCCCGGGCTGGGCGGAGACCTCCCGGCTTCAGGGCTGGGGGCTGGCTTGTTTGAATGAAGTGACCCAGGGGACGCAGGAGAGCGCTTGCTCTGGGCCCAGCGCGCGCCGGCCGCGGGGTTCCGTTCTTGGAGAGCCGCCCCTGGCCTTCGATGCCCGGCGCTCCGCCGGGACTCGGCACGGATTCCTGAGGGTCGGAGCGGGCTGATGGCGGAGCCAGCTGGCCCATGTGCCTGGCGCTCTTGTTCTTCTGCACCTGTTGATGAAGCCCTTTGGTATGTGTTGGCTGGCCTCACTCCCAGCGCGGGTGAGGACAGAATCCCCGTAGCACAGACTCGGAGAAGCCGCCGATGCCCCCGTTGTGTGTGTTACTGGGTGCCGCTGAGTGGAGCCGGCTTCCACTCCCGGTGATGGCGCGAATGAGTGATGCCCACAGTGTCCCGTCCTCAGCCACCTGCTCGGCCGCGGTAGACTCGTTTCAGTGGCTTCCTTTATGGCATCGGGCCGTCTCATATTGGGTCTTCCTCTTCCTGCCGGCGGCGCCTTTGCCTCATACAGACACTTGGCAGAGCGGCCTCAGTGCTGCAAAGTACAGACCTTGGAGGCGGATACATTTTGTGGCGACTCCACCTTCGGGGAGGGTGTTTTTGAGTCAGAGCCCAGCCGGTATGTTTCACATGGGGCTGCAGGAAGTCTTTAGCCTGGCATTGTGCCAAGGGCTCAAGAGGCAATCTCCTTTTATGATTCTACAAAAGAGCCATTGTCACCCCCATATTACAGATAAGTAAACTGAGGCCCGAAGAGGCAAAGAAATTTGCTTGCCCAAAGTGGCACATCCCTACCTGACTCCCGTGTGGCTGTTCTGGAATCACTGACCCCTGGTCCCGTGTGTTGTGGCTGACGTTCGCCATGAAGGCCTAGGTGACAGACACCAAAGTGAGCGGAACAGGGTCCGGGTGTTAGAACCTTAAACTTGACCACTGGAGAATAGGCTTCCAGCTGGTGTCCAGTATGCCGCTGCGTAGTCTCTTGTTCGTAGCTGAGCAGAGGGGGGTCACTGGTCCCTGAGGTCACTGGTCCCACTCACTTCCACACTTTAAAAAAAAAGATTTTATTTATTTACTTTTAGAGAGGGAAGGGAGGGAGATAGAGAGAGAGAAACATCGGTGTGTGGTTGCTGGGAGTTATGGCCTGCAACCCAGGCATGTGCCCTGACTGGGAATCGAACCTGCGACACTTTGGTTTGCAGCCCGAGCTCAATCTACTGAGCTACGCCAGCCAGGGCTACTTCCACACTTTGTAAATGTCTCCAGGCTCTTGTTCGCACTTGTACGCACTGGTTCTTCCGTTAGTATCTACGTCTGAGAAAGACCGTCTCCTCTGGTTCTGCTTCCCGAGTACTTTCATTAGCCTACAGTTATGGGCTTGTTTTCCATCGCTCGGTTTCCGAAAGGTCTCCAGTTTTTGTGAGGACCATAAGTGGGCAGCAGATGGTGGATTAACTTATTGTCAAGTTATTCCAACTTGGGCTCGAGACGTCCAAGTACGTCCCGAGACGTCCAAGTTTGGTCATTTGCTAAGGTCTTGTGAGAAAACCACAGAAATGTCCGTTCCGTTTCAGATGTCTGCCTCACACTGCATTTGCCAGAGCGGAGAGATTAATGTCATGGTACCAAACCGTGGCTTCATCAAAGGGATTAAGCTACCCCTCAGCTGGATTACCGCATTAAGCCAGATTCAGACACATTTCAGTTCCTTGGAAGCCGCTGGGAGAAAGAGACTTCTCAGAAGTGAAGGTTTACAAGTGGTTTAGGGACGTAGCGTCGTGCGTATTTTCAACGGGGAGATTAGGCTGGGACTGAAGCGCCCGTACGTTACATTGGTGATGGCAGCACAGTAGTGAAAGGGCCCCTGTGCCACCCCCGTTTGTCACCTAACCTAGCACTCAGGTTTCGGTAGACCTGGGGCCGAGCACTTCATTGCTAAAGTCCGTTTTTCTGAATTAAGTACAACTGCTTTTTAAAAGCAGCTGTAGCATTTGGTAGGATAGCTGGTTGTGAGAAGGGCTGTACGAGCCTCAGGTAATGCAAAGCTGTTATCTCAGACTCTGAAAGGACCCTAAACGCGCCCGGTCAGCCAGGATGGCTCTCCACTGGAAACCTCTGTCTGTGTTCCAAAGGCCTCCCTTCGTTGCTTGCCTTCCCTGGACAAGGTAAAGAATGCTGTCCTTTTTCCCCCGTGGAAGGTAGCAGTTTCTGCTTTGGTGTGGGCTAGTACACCTGTGGCTGCCCGCAGAGCTGGCGGCAGGATCCTGACTGTGGTCACTCTCTTTGTGAGGGTCAAGGTTAGGGGCAGTTTCCTTTTTCCCTCCGGCTGTGGTTCCCTGGGATGGGTCTTCCCAGCGAGGAGCGAGAGGCCAGGGAGACTTCAGTGGAGGGTCTCCTCCCGTGTGAGCGGTGGCTGCTCCCGGCCGGCCGTGAGGGGTCCCACGTCCTGCCCAGCTCCGTGGCAGACAGCGGTGCTGCTGCTTTCACGGGAGCAGCAGCGGGAGAGCTGGTGGGGGGAGGGGAGAGGGGGAGGCAGAACGACATCCAGCCCCTAGTCAGCACAGCTCTTGGAGCCTCATCGAACCCCCTAAGGACCCCGACTTGAAAAGGCTTTCCTGTCCCTGGCTGGCGTAGCTCAGTGGATTGAGTGTGGGCTGCGAACCAAAGTGTCGCAGGTTCGATTCCCAGTCAGGGCACATGCCTGGGTAGCAGGCAACGGCCCCCAGCAACTGCACATTGATGTTTCTCTCTCTCTGTCCCTCTCTGTCCCTCCCTTCCCTCTCTAAAAATAATTAAATAAAATCTTTAAAAGGAAAAAAAAAAAGAAAAGGCTTTCCCGTGCAAGGGCTCACCTGGAATTGCTTCATGTTTGCAGGCAAGGCCTGGACCGGGCCAGGGGCTCGAACTGGGCTCTGAGTTCAGGAGAAACAAAGGATCCTTGATTGGCGGGTGGCTGGGCCCAGCCCTTCTGTGCCAATGTGCGAGGTCATCCAGCCAGCTAGCCAGCCAGCCAGCCAGCCGGAATTGGAGGAAACTTCCCAATTCTGCTCCTAAAAGAATTCGCTGGGGAATTTATCTTTAATATGGGCCAGTGGGCACAGGAGTTCCAGAGGCAGAAGAGCTGCACGTTGGCACCCATTTCAGAGGTTTTTGGAGTTTTCCCCGTGCCCTGGCCAACTAGCAGAGGTGTAGGTGAAAAGCCACAGGGTGCCACCACCATTCCCTGTGGCCTGCAACCCCACAGGGAGGGTACAGAAGTGTCCTTGTGTGCCCACTGGGACAAAAGGTACTTGCTGTGCTAGTGTCTGTCTTTTAGACCTAGTGTGGGCCAGATGAAGGGGAATGGCCTGTTCATGGGAGCTGCCCACCTCCGGAACCAGCGCCAGTGTTCCAAAGTTCAATGTCCTCCCAGCAGCCCCCAGGAGGGGTGGCCGGGGACGTTGGCACCTGCGTTTGTGAGCTGGTGCAGCCCCGCCCACCCTGGCTTGCTGTTGAACAGGCAGTGGGGGTGGAGGGTGCAAGGAGGGTTGGCAGGCTTCACTGAAGAGTGAGTGTCCCTGAATTAATCACTCTGAGCTCCTGCGGGAAAGTTTCTCTGCAAACACGGGGCCTGGGGTTTCCCAGCCGCTGTGTTTGCACAGAGGCCCGAGTTTAGGGCTTTGTTTGAACGGGAGCTGCGCACGGCTTCCTCTGCTCAGTTGCCTTGGTCCCTTTCCCAGGCTCTGTGGCCCGGATTTATTGGGTCAGAGGCTTGAAGTTTGACCTGTTTAAGGCCGCCTGGGAGAGTCACTTGAGTGACCGGTTGTCATTTCTCCCAGGTAAAGACTGGAGCACGGGCAGGCGAGCTGGGCGCTCCAGGTCCTGACTGGGGACACCTGAGCCACAGTGGCCTGGTGGCCTCCGGGGCTCCGGTTCGAATCCTTCCTTGCGGAGGTTTGTTCAGCATGGCGCTTACAAAAATGCAGGCTGCGTTCGTGTGGGCTTCTGCCTGTGGGTTTGGTCACTGACTGGTGGGAATGTGGTTTCAAATCCTGCTGGGGTTCTTTGGGGGGCTTTAACCTTTAATCGTGAAAATGTTAAAATGTGCACAAAAATGGAGGGAAAGGGGAATTCTCAGGTACCTGTCACTCAGACTTCACAATCATCAATACATTCTATAGCTCTTACCCACGCCTATATTTTTTAATGAAAAATGGATCTCCTGAAATTTAGTTGGTTCCATGCCAAACAAGATTGCTGTTTCGAGTGGCCCCTCCCCCACCATCTTGCATTTGTGTGTGCAAGTTCAGCATTTGCTTGACAGATTTCCATGTGACCAGTAGCAGGGCGGTGGTAATGGGAACTGATTCGGAGATTCTGGCCAAGACACAGTTTTGGGAGCAAAGTGCTCACATGGGAAGAGTAAACCGCAGCCTGGAAGGGCGTGGGCTGTCCCCTCCCAGGGGGTGACATCGGTGGGCTCAGGGGAGACAGTCCGCTTCTCTCACTGGAATGAGCAGTGGGGTGGAGGGCCGTGTCCACCTACCGTCTGTGCCCCCCCCCATCTGGACCATGCCCCAGGACACAGGTGCCCAGGGCCCCGGCTCCTGCATAGGAAGTGTCCGCTCTGGCCCCCTGCCTTGGGGTGGGGGTGTGGTGAAGGTCCTGGGTGTGGGAAGGACTGGACACACACCAGTTGGGGTGTTCTCAGGTGTGGGCAGGAGGCCACTGCCAGGGTGGGTGGAGCCCAGAGAGCAGAGGTCTGTGGAAAGATACTGGGGTGGGGTGGGGGCTGCTCCCCACACTGGCGGGATTCT